TTTCAACTCAGAGATCTCCTAAGTGATGGGGTGTTAGCGTCTATGGAAGAACTGCTGGCACAATTTTTCTTTGAACCAGATTTTTGTGAAGTACGCATGCTACTCATATGATCACATTGCATGAAAAAGCATGTGATTTCATGAAAGAGCCAACGGTCTGGGTGATAATCATACATATCAGAACTATACTCAAACGCTTCAACCACAAAACTTTATTCGAAACGCAAATGCCAACACTTCATCAAATCCAATAGAATAGTTTATTCAAGATTTCAAAAAATCTCATTCTACAAAAAGTCTCAAAAGAAGGCAAAAGGTTTCAAAAAATGGTTCCATAAAAAGTTTGAGACTCGAAAAGTTTGGGTTTAGAATGAAAATCCAAAAAATGTTATCTCTACTCTCATGATGAAAAGTGATACCGGCGTAAAAGGAACTCACTCCCAGTAAAAAACGCTACATCGTATAGATACACAAAATGCAGAATTCACCATCCAGAAAAAATCTCTTTTTGCTCTTTCTTGTGTCTAATTCTCTCAAGACATTCCTATGAAATTACCTTCAAGCTCAAGTATACGAAATGTCGAAAAAATTGCTTATCCTTTGTGGATAATGCATAAACTGTTTCTAGAATATATCTTCTAAATAAAATCTCTATTATTTCAAAAGTGGATGCAGTTCAAAATTCACGAGAACTTTGTGTTACTTATGCGAAGAACTCATTCCAAAAGTTCAACTCTTCTCTGAAAAAAAATTTCGCGATTTTTGACAAGAAAGTCTTCTGCCACTCACAATTCTTTCGGATTGGAAACTTGCACCCAGGCCCATTTCCTCCTCCTCGTATTCTTCTGCAATACCATTTTCATATGCAAGTAAACTTTCTGCTCCTAGATGGATTGGTAATATCCTACCTGAACTTTCTTGGGTTTGCAGAACCTGAAAAATGGTTTTTTCACGAAGTTTTTACACCATTTTAAAATTACGTTGCAAGGAGTTTTTCATGCTCCTCAAATCCTCCAGACTTCTTGAAAGCTTTTACAAGTCTTTTTCTCACACACATATCTGAAAAAGTCAGCATCAGGACAAACTTGTATAGCGATCAATCCATACTTTTATCGGATTTCTCTCCTAGCCACGTAAGAAAATTTGCATATAGCTCTCTGGCAGAACCTTGGAAATGTCCGGACTTCTCGCGCAGATCCGACAACCACTGAAAACATCGCACGATTAAAAACCCATCTGCGAGAACTGCAACAGTTTTTCTTCAACAGCGGACTGGAAAAGAGGGTTTTAGGGAAGGAAGCACATTCAAGAAGTGGTTGCGAAAATTTTCAACTTAGACTACATGAATTATAGGATTGCGTAACTTGTTCACAATTGTAAAAAATTGTATTTTCGAGATTAAAAAAACCCTAAAGATTTTTTTCGAAAGATCCCCTTTCCGCGACCTTTTTCGAAATTTCGAAGTTGTCTGTCGGCAAAACTTTCGTGAAACACCTCAAGATTTTGCCGGAGGGTGCGTCATGCCACGACCAGTTAGGTGGAACATTTACTACATATGAAAAATCATATTACTATGTTTATTTGAAAGTTTCCAGAAGAATCTCATCATATTTGGTGGGCGATTTACGGAACAATCAATTAGCAAAAAAACTCATCAATAAATACCTTATGAGTCAATCTTTCCACTCTATCTTCCATTTCGTTCACAGGGGAGCAGATATGGTCGATCTTGCAAGGATCCTCGAGAAACTCATCACCGATCACCTAAACATAATAAATTAATTAAAAGATGGACAAAGTCAAGCTAAACTTACCCTGATTGAAGTTTTCGCCCCATATTTCCAGCAGTAGACACACTGGAAAACTTGGTAACGAGCGTTCGTATGACCATGGCAAAACACGTAAGCGTTTTCAGTTCCTGGAATCGAGTACACCAGCACATCGTGTTTTCCTCTTAAACTTACCTGCTTTACCCCTTTGAATCTCGGAAGAGACTCGATTTCGGCTGGTGTTAGAGGCTTTTTTGGAGGAGGAACTTCATGCTTACCACAGACACACATTTTAGGATTTTTAGGGGGTGGGGAAGCCTCTTCCCAATCAGAAAAAGAAGAATCTTGTAAAGGTGGAGTGCAAAATGGTGCAGGGTCGGAATTTTCGAGACT